ACCACCATTAGGTTTTCATGTATTTTAGTAGTGTCATCATGCATTGAGACAGATTAGGAGGTTCAGTTACATTTAAAGAGAAGCTATCATCCTTTCCCTTATTTTCTGTCACATATACCTCATTACTGTTCAGGTTAAACTGGTTTTAAATAATGAGGTTATTGTATGTACAAGAGGTTCCCTTCAGGCTGTTCTAAACACTCAAATTCAGACTTTATTTTCTACTCTTGGCTTTGCCTAATGTCAAAGATTGGGGACTTCCCTAATTCATCTCTGGCACTTAGGAACCAACCACCTAATGCTTAAGCTTTGAGTTTGTGAGGGGCACCCAATCAGAAGAAAGTTGGCTTGGAGGAAGAGGAGTTCATATGGCTCGTTTCAGACTGTGAATGAACTAAGGACCCAGCTCAAGATAAATAAGGATTATTTTGAATTTTGAGTCATGCAAAGCTCCTCTAGAAGAGTAGAGGAGTGAACGTTTGGACCTGGAAATGAGCATAATAGGTCCAATTTACAGTAAAAGCACTATCTCAGTATGATTTCAGTTAGCAACTATCGTTCTAATGCAGTATACTGATGCTTTACTCTCAATTGTTGTAGGTTTTAATCTTGTGTATAGCGTAAGGGCTGGAGTCTCTGTGTGGCCAAATGTCTCCGTTGGGCAGATCCCTAGTCTGTTCCTCCTCCCACTCAACCATCTCTACTGTTAAAGTGGGTGGACTGAAGATGTCAGTTGTCCGGTAGGATTGTGTGAGGCGGCGGAAAGAAGATGTGTCAGAGACATCCTCTTCAAAGAGGTCCTCCATGAGCTCCTTGCGTCGTCTGCGAGATGCTTTCAGCTCATCATTCAGGTCAGAAACCAGATCTTTAACGTCTTTCACAAGTGTGGAGCGAACACCAAACAGGCAGAGCAAGAACACGAGACCAGCACAGATGCCGGAGACAAAGTAGAGAGCAACTCGCTCTGGGAGACCTGGAAGAGAGATGTGTGAGGAAATTAAAAATTTGCCAACATAAGCCACGAGTGTCTGCTCAGCTCATCTTTCTCAAATTGCTTTAGAAAACACTATTAATACAAGGTGTGACCTTTCAAAGTAATGTATCAAATGTGAGTAATGTATCAAAATCAATTTGCAAGTGCTCCTATTTCAGTTCAAATATCCAAATAATTTTATCAATATTTTATTTTCTATTTAAATTAATAATGTTAGAAACTGATTTAGCTGAAACATCTTCCTGGGCAGTGCAGCATTGTAAAAACAAAGACACAGCATCGGCTCTGGATTAGGATCATCCCTGCAAAAACCATATATGATTATTTATCTTAGTCAGAGTACATAATGGCTAATATTTGTATTTTCCACCAGCAGGTTAATGTATGATCCAAGGGAACAAACATAACTGTTTTTTTTTATATGTCCAAACTGAAAGGAAAGAAATAGACTGAAATTAGGAAAAGTTATTTTTAAAGATAATAAGCTAATAATTATATGATTTGGAAAATGGAAATAATACAGAAATATGTACGCAAATTTTAGATTACTACTTATCAGCACAGACAAGTGGCTGGCACACTGATAAGCAGAGGCTGGCTGGAGCCTTCCTGTGTGGAATTTGCATGTCCTTGCTGTGCCTGTGTGGATTCTCTCCAGCAATACAAACACATGCATATCAGGTTAACTGGTGAGTGTAAATTGGCTGTGGACGTGAGGTAGATGAGTTGCATAAAGTGAGCAGAATAAAGAGTAAATGTGGATTGTGGTTTAAAGTGGCCAGTAAAGAGTACATAAGTGCTATATGAATGTCACTCTCTATCTGTAACGGCTGAGATATATGTCAGCCCTGCAACACTAGGCTAGATAAGCAATTGAGAAAATAGATAGGTGGTATATAAAGGCTTCCAGTTACTCTAACACCTCTTCTAATTTTTCCATGTCGTTTTGGAGCTCAGTATTTCGACTGTGTCCACCAACGTGCTTGGACGCCGACACTTCTCTTCGACTACAGCACTCATGAGAGATATATATGTGGCTGTAGCCTGACATCCACAGGCATCAGTACACATACCCAGTATTTTGTCAAAGATCTCCAGAGAGTTGGTTAAGAACACATTTTGAGGCCTGTAGGTGGGGCCAGTGTACCATCCACCTGCAGGCGAGAGGGTTCTGGGCTCAATAGCCAGTCAAAGTCTGCTGCACGCAATGAAACCTGTGAACGTTCGTTTTCACACTCACCGTGTGTGTAATCTGAGATCATGAAAGGATCTGTTGGACCTTGACCCACATCTTCGAGGAGATATCTGGGGACTAAAGAGGAAATGAAACACTGTCACAATACGCAGCTGTATGCAAATACAGAAAATATACTATGCATCTATATCCAAGCAAAAAAAAAAGAGTAGGTGTAGATTTGTCACTTACCACAAGTGAAGGACACCCGCAGGTGTTTCCTGGTGCCGGGGAAGCACGGGTCCCCAAAGGTTCGAGTATCGGCTATTAGTGAACAGTTTGCTCTGCTGTGACACCTGCGTGACACTTTCCTCAGGGCCGCCGGAGACAAACACTCTGAAATAATTTAATATAAATGAAACCAATGATTGTAACGAAGAAGACAACAGTAACATTTTATTGTTAAAAAAAAGCTGTTTCTCTAAAACCTGAGCACCTAGAAATGAATGAATATGAATAAATAATTCCTATTTATATGAATGATTAAATGCAGTACAGTAGTAATTCTCCATCATGTCTATACAGGACTTTAGCTCCACTTTTTTGCCACTAGATGGCACTTGAGCCCCCTGCTGCTGCAGACCAATGTCAGCCTTTGATCCAGGTTCCTGAGGACAGTGAGGACTGCCGTGCAGCAGGTGTCCAAATGAGGCAGAGTAGATTGCGATGACAGTCTCATTTTTACACATCAGCCTCAAACGCTCATTTTCGCACACCAGTCGTGTGCGGTGGTGCTCTGAAAAACAGATGAAATGGCACGTTTTGAAGAACAAGAACTTTCTGTAGCTGTTTTAAGAAAATCTGATGGCTGAAAGCATTCATTGTTATTATTTCAAAAGTTTACAACCTTGTTTGACAGCTGTTTAGAGAGCTATGTAAATGACTCAAGCTACCCTGCATTTCTTTATATTTTGCTTTCAAGCCAGTTTTTTTTTTCCAAAGTAGTCTTGAGCAACAGTTCTTCAGGTTCTCTGAAGGTCTTTGGACATTAGCTGCTTTTTCACTCATTTTCTAAGCATTCCTTATACCCACTCTTTTTGAGACGATTGCTTTTGTTTGTTTGTTTGTTTGTTTTTGTCTTTTAAGCTACTTAACACTAATCTATGAGCTATGGACATCAGATGAACAGTATCTGAAAGTCATTTCTTAAGAAATAGGGAAAAATCGAAAAAGACGTGACCCTGGCCTGACCCAGTAATAAGGAAGGGAAACACATTAAAAAGGCTGTTACTATATGTTAGACATTTATTATTTACTTATTATTCCTCCTGTTAAAGCTGATTATTGGAAATCCAGTCATAACCTATCAAAGAAGAGGTAACTTAATGTGACAATATATGTCAAAGTGCATATGAAGTTGATGTGAGACTATAAGAGTCACTAGTGGACTGATTGTGTGGCTTTGTTTAAAAGCTACAATCACAATTTTAGAAGACTCCCACTTAATTTTATGTAACTCAGACTTTATATACCATACCATACCACCTTTATTTATAAAGCACTTTAACATAAAACCAGAGTTCACAAAGTGCTGTACATGCTAATAGCATAAGTAAAGAAAATTAAAATGAGATAAGATAAAATAAAGAACTAAAAAAAAAAAACTAAAATAAATTGAAACATGTTAAAACAAATTGAGTCAACCCCTCTAATCAATGCCAAAGGCTTCAGCGAATAAATATGTTTTAAGAAGACTTTTAAATTCAGAAAGAGAAGAGGCCTGCCTAACATGGCCATTAAGAGATTTAAAAGCAAATAAGAGAATTTTAAAAACAATCCTAAAATGTACAGGTAGCCAGTGGCGTGAAATTAAAATTGGGGTAATGTGCTCAGACTTTATATGCACTTCAGTTTCGAATGCAAATGTTTCAATGTACAGTTTTGTGTTTTATGTGTGACTGCCCGTTTTTTTGAAAACACCCCCAAAAAATTTAAGTTCCTTTTTATGTTTTGCTTAACAGGCCTGAAACCAGAGGCTGACTGAGGAAGAATATTACAGAAACTATAAATGATACCAAGTTCAGTTCCTCTTTTCTAAGTTACCGTTATATTTATTAAGTTTTAGATTTCTGTGAGCATGCAAAAGACATAAATAAGATATTTTAAACTAATAATAATTTAAAGACGATTACTTAATTATAGAAAAAATGAAAGGAAAAAGATTTTATTTACTAGCTTTATATGCTAATAGATTTTTTTAATTAAGAACTTTACTGTGCAGCTCTTTTTTTCAAGCCAAGGCCCCTCTTATTGATAGTTTTCTGCACACCTTTTATTATGCACAAATTATGTGATGCAGTCTTTCTTTGTCAGTTAGCTAACATAAATTTAAAAGTCATGTGTTCACTAGTGGTGAAGTGACTGGACTGTCCAGCTCAGTAGTGCACCTGGTCTGCACTTGTAGGAGACTAGGAGGTACTTGGTGGTGAGAGGACAGGGATCCTGGCCAAACACCGGACTTAAGACGGGAATGTGGCACGACCGCCGATCCTGACACTCTGACAGCACTTTCTACAAGCACAGGAAAATCCATGTGGACCACTGTTATCTTCAACAGGAGTCGCCCATAAGAGCATTTGATTAAGGCAGATTATGCAGTGAGTTCACAGTTGCTATGTGTACCTCGATAGCAACTGAGGAAGTGCACTCCGTGTCCTCCTCCACAGTTGTGTTTGTGCTTGCAGGAGGACATAAATGCTGACTGGGAACACGGCGTCCATAGAAGGCTGATAGGATGGCCACGGACGTCCTGGAGGGACACTTGATGATGAGGATTTCTCCTTCACAAGCATGAGCCGTGTGGTTTTTCAGAATGCTGTGAAGATACACTGAAAGATAAAAAGACTCATTTCAAACACATCTTACACCTCATTTATAGTCGCGTGCATAAGTCTTGAGCCCCCCTTATTTCTTTATATTTTACTAGAAAAATGGGAATTAAGTTTATAAAGCAAAAGCAGAGATTACACAAATATAACAAGCTTGAAAGTCAATATTTAGTGCCACAACCTTTCTTCATTCAACACAGTCTGAACTCTCTTAGGCAGACTTTCTTTTAATATCTCTAAATCGTCTTCAGGAACAGTTTTCCAGGCTTCTTGAAGGAAAATTAGATTCATCATTCCACTTTCAGTTCCTGTATAGCGTCATATACGCCAGCCTTTTCTTCCTGTTTCCCTTTCTTAAGAATTACTTCTTGTCTGCCACCTTTCCACTATGACCATTTCTGATGAGGCATCAGTGAACAGTAGATGGATGAGCTAAAGGGCCACATGCATCTCTCAGCTCCTGCGTCAAACCTTTGCTGAATCATTCTCTGATTCTTCAGGAAATGTCTTTCAGACACATTTTGTCTGCTGCTGATAGTTTTTAAGACACTTCTTCTTTTGTCCTCTGCTTTTCCAGTTTTCTCTTTTTTTTAAGGGCGCGCTCCACACTGTCTATCACAGTAAAATCCTATTTTAATCCCGTCAAACCGTATAATCATTTAGATTCAACTAAAAATTTTGTATTTTGTGACATGCAGCTCAAAGTACATCAAGATACAATTTGAAATAGTTTTCTTGCTAAGTTCTCTGTTATGTGCAGACACAACACTGGTTCATCCCTCGAGGGTGAAATTTTTAAGCTTGAATAATTCATAAGTCGATGTTAAGTAGCTTAACAAGCAAAAAACATTTCTCAGAAAGCCTGGATGAAAGAGAAAGAAATAAAGGGTCTTCTTTCTGTTGTTAACCAACTAATAAAGACTGGATGACTCAGTTACCTTTACTCATGCACAATTTGTGACCCTTTCATTGTCAACAAGTTAACAGTTTGACTTATTTAGAGCTTTTTTTAGCCCCTACAACAGCTCCGTCCCCTGTCGACAGGGTGGTGTCCGACTCACTGGGTGTAGCTCGCCAAGACAATTTTTGGACTATGACCACACATAGAAACATCATCAGCAACAGCGCATAGACACTGAAGTGAAGTCTCCCCTCCCATGTGTGTTTCCTGTACTGTATTGTGCTAGTGTGTACGTGCAGTTTATCTCGCCTTGTGAAGATTTATATTATTGTATATAT